AATCATATGGTATTTGTCTTTCTCTGACTGATTTATTTCACTTAGCATAATACTCTCCATCACTTCTATCTCTAAAATAGCTCTCAAATCTGTGTCCTCCTGTTCATTCCATTCACTTCAAATCAGTTTCTGCCCGTGTAGTTTAATTCACTTCCTCAACAAATATATATTTAGGGTTGACCTCGAATGTCATAGCCTCTGTTCTAGGTGTTGGAGATTCAGGTGTTAAAAGAGTGAACGATATTTCATTTATGGGTCTTACATTCTTATTTAGAATTTCATCATATCTTGCATTAATGATCAACATTCATCTCATGCTGTGACTCTCCATCCCCTGGAATCTATCCCCCACAGAACCCCAGAGTTTTCTTTCTGAAAGACGATCTGAATCATGTCATTACCATATTAGCATGACTCTTAACCCCAGCTTTATAAATGCTAAGGTTGGTGGTTATGGTTGCTCATGGTGGCCTGAGCCAAATGTGCTTCTCTAACTTGATTTCCTGCTTCTCCTTCACTGTTCTCCAGTCTCACAGGACCAAGTGCTGCTCTTAGAATAGGCTGAGATGAAGTTACTGGTTCTCTCCTGACCTACGCGCTTACTTATTGTGCCTAAAAACTACACTTCCATTTGGTTTTTTTTTTTTTAATGTTTTTTTTAAATGTTTTATTTATTTCCAGGAGAGAGAGAGACAGCGTGAGCAGGGGAGGGTCAGAGAGAGAGGGAGTCACAGACCGAAACAGGCTCCAGGCTCTGAGCTGGCAGTCAGCACAGAGCCCGACGCGGGGCTCGAACCCACGAACCGCGAGATCATGACCTGAGCGAAAGTCAGACGCTTAACCGACTAAGCCACCCAGGCGCCCCTCTACACTTCCATTTGTACCTCAAGAATTCCTACTCAGTTCTGTGAAGGGAGTCATCTTTGCCCTCTGCAGACAGTTAATTTCTATGTCTGCTCTCCATAGAAAAATAAAGCATGCTTTTATAAAAGCAGGAAGTATGGAATCAAGTGAATGTTTGGGGTTCAAATACTTTTCTACTTGATTATGTTTCATTTCCCTCCATTAAATGTATTTCTCATTCCGTATCAGGAACCATCACTTCTCAGGCATCCTCAGGGAATGTGGTATGACAGCAGCCCAGGTTTTTTCAATACTAGCACATTTGCCCAGGTGTCATTAAATTGTGAGAGACTAGAAATATCGATGAATCTTAAATAATTGACACAATCAGTCTCATTAGATTGTCAGCTTCTTGAAGGCAGAAGATATATCTTCCTTGTACGACAAAGTAGTTTGCTGAATAAAGGCAGAAATAAGTGAATGAAATACATAAGACACCCTGTGCTTTTTTTTGGAAAGAGATACTTATGGGAATACATATTATTGTAAGAAATTTATATCTTCAACTCTCTCTTATTTAACATATCTAATATGACCACCACTGAATGTATGGACCTCAAGCACAAAATCAACCAAAACCAAGGGACAAACAACAACAACAATGCCATGACTTCAAATCCTATTCAAAGTAGTTACTCAGTTCCAAGAATTTTAGTATCTAGAAACATCTTAAAATATGGTTTTCAGAAAATGTAGTATTGATTATCACAGTTATCTGAAAAGAACAAAATCCTTTTTAAAGAGAACATTGATAACTCAACTCATAACATTAGTACCTTAGCAGTACAAAATCGTGCATCATTCTTTAATGGGTTTTAAGCTTTACTCCACAGAATTTATGGTCTCTCCAGAAAGTCTCTTGATATTATGCAAAAGAGTAGTATTTCCAGAACTATCTAAAAGTGGTCATATAAGATGACTACAGCAGGAAGAGCTTAAATGATCACATGCTTGAAGTGAGAGATGTAACATAGACTCTGCCATGGAGCCAGCAGTTCACAGGCATCCTCTGCAAATGGAGTGCAGTGGCTGCCCAGAGTTCTTCAATAGTAGCATTTTCCCAGATGTCACTAAAGTTTGAGAGAAAAGAGGTGTTAATGGTTCTTAAATAACTGAAACAATTTAACTTAATTGGGTAGAAAAAATGCAAAAGAACAGTATAAAGTTCATATGAAGTAGAATTTTTTGAAGCAAGAAAAGCTACTATCCAGATCTCTCCAACTTGTGACCCTAGTGTATAATTTGTTTCAAATTCACAAATTAGGGAAACATTCTCAATGAGTAAGGTTATGGTCATGGTTTATCTAAAATGTTTATGAATAGTCCTTAAAATGGAGATGTATAGGGGAAGGAAAGAAGAGTATAAATAATTTAAAGTATGTATGAATGCAATGAAGATCCTTATATCCTCAAATATAGCTTTTGAGTTAGAAGAGAATATTTGTGAAAATGTACTATTTCTAGAATTTTCATCTTATTGGTATAATGGCAACCCACAGTCCAGTACCACAATTCAGAAATTATAACTATAACTAACTATAACTATAACTAACTACATGTATAACTATATATATAGTTATATACACACACACACACACACACACAGAGAGAGAGAGAGAGAGAGAGAGAGAAGGAGAGAGAGAGAAAGAGAGTGAGAGAGAAATGACCTTCATGCACCAAGAAGAGAGGAACTCTCTCCTGTAAATGAACAATATAAGTAGTCTTCTTGCTTTGTACCAGTTAACCTTTATTTTTGTTTGGATAAAGGTTTTAATTACATGGATTGGCTATGATAGCAGTGGGAATTCTCCTAGGGCAAAGTGATTTTTCCCAGTCTTTCAAAGACTATGAGATATTTAGAAAACAACCCTTTGGTATCTTTCTCTGCAATACTCCACTGCGGCTCAATGGGTTGATTACCATCTTAGAAACTGTCTAAAAAGATACAGGCAAGAAAAGATAACTGAAATTTGCAGTGCAAACATTAGATCCTGTGATGGATGGACCTTGGTGGTCACTTGACACAGAGGCTGTAACATAGGGAACTGCACAACAGCTTCCTCAGTGAGGTGTGATGTCCTTTTTATCTGTAATTTGTGTAAAGGTTAGTATCTTTTGTATATAATTTTCCTTCACAAGCATCCTAGTCTCTGAAATTCTCAAACACAGTGACCTTCCTTTCTTCTTCTCTCTCTATTTGAAGACTTAATTTGTTTTTCTGTCCATTTTGAGAATGTTTGTAATAATCTGAATGCTAGCATTCTTTCTGAACTACAAAAGTATTTTAACTAATGCTTCATAAAGTTATAATAAACAGTAGCTATTTCCTGAAACTTACAGCAACTCCAAAAAGTTGATAGTTTGCAAAATAGGAATTATAGCTGTCTACTATATCATTGAAAATATTATTTAGATAATCTTTGCAAACTGTAGGTAATATATGAAAAATACAGGCCATTGAACAAAAATTAGAGTAGTAGTTTGTATTTCTTAGATGACTCCCAACTGAAGTAGTTTAGTTTAGTTTAGTTTAGTTTAGACTGGTGGCTCAGTCAGTTAAGCATCCAACTCTTGAGTTTAGCTCATGTCATGAACTCATGGTTTGTGAATTCAGACCCTGCATTGGGCTCTGGGCTGACAGCTCAGAGCCTGCTTGGGATTCTGCCTCTCTCTCTGTCCCTCCCCTGTTTGCTCTCTATCTCTCTCTCAAAATAAATAAAAATTTAAAAAAACTGCAAAATGGTTTCCACAATTAAACTAGCTTGGACTTATACATTAAACTTCCCGGAATATTTGAAACCTTAAAGTATTCCAGTCTCCTCTCCCTTTGCATAAATGAGGACCCGAGCAGTCAGTACTCCTAGCCTCTATTCTATCAGGGGAAAAAAAAAAAAAAACAACAACAACAACAACGAAGAAGAAAGAAAAGTTGCTCTTCAGTGTTACATCAAATTACAAATCATTTTTTCTTCCCTCCTTTTTTGTGACAAAGTTTCTAAATGCATTAATATATTTTCTTGAATCCCCCATGATTACCTCTACCACAAACCTTCCTTTTTTAGGCAATACCTCTGTGTGATGGTGCCATCATTTTATTCTGAACCCTATTAAAAACAGCTCTCTGGCAAATGGACATGTTGACAGTATTTGAATGAATTTGTCTCTTCCAGGAGTAGGATACTGGGGTTTAACTTGAAGCAACTCTGAGGTTGAGATCTGGGATACTAGAGGTGGATTGGCAGGCCTCTGTGTGGGCAGAACTGTATTCTCATGAGCCATCACAGCACATGAAAGTGTTAGTCCATATGCTTCCTCCACACAACACCATTGCTGTTCAGGACAGGCTGCAGTTCACGACTGTGTAATTATTAGAAACAAATATAACATGAAGAAGAACATGGGATTGAAGCCCAGGCTTAACACCTCCCACTTTGTGATCTTAGACAAGTCTTGTCATTTCATTACTAGATGTTGTCTAGTAACTAACATCTCTCTCACTGGATTTAGTCAAGAAAAAACATAAGTTTGGATTCTTTATGGATTGTTACATGCCACACTGAAGCTGGACCAGTACTAGAAGTAAAACATTGGATTTCCATACATACATGTGTGAATGGAAATTCCACATTAGGCACCTAGCCATTTTATAAAATAATATACATATTTTCATGAAAAATTATTTATGACAGATACCTATATTTATGTTATGTTTATTGGTAGTCATGGAAATTTTTAGTTTATGCCATTTAGGGCAGACTTTTAGGGAGCTAGATGTGAAGAGGGGAGGCATCTTCAAGTACTTTAAAACCTCCATGTCCCAGTTGTCCTACAATTTATCTTCTTTGACAAATGAATTTGATTTTAAGCCATTCGGACATAGATGAGTATATTCTGAGCAAATAAATAAGGTTATGGTCAAAAAGAAAACTGCAGGCACATTTTTGTAGGGGGATGATTGCAATTCCATAGTAAAACAGGTAAATAACATAGTAAAAAAGGAAAATAGAAAAGATAAAACTCTAGCAATAACTTACATTTTATCATGATGGAAATCAAACATTTTTAACCATTCCAATATTTTGTGCTATTATTTGTAGGTGGGGCACACTGAAAGGGGCACAGGGACAGAAAGAAAAATTCTGGGTAGGTACCTCTTTCCAACTGCATTTCTACTGCGATGTGAATAGGGTAGAGTCATCTGTGTCACTACCACCTGGCTTGTGTTATTTAGTCACATTCCTAAGTTACGGTAATATTGTTAATAATAGTGGTATTTTCTCCAGCAGAAAATTCATTATAATCACTTGTACTAAAATAACAGTTTTCCTCTATTCCTCTTATTTCAAATTATAAAAGAGGAAAAGGTATTTTTTTTTCAAAGGAAGAATCAAAAGGAAAACATTTTGTTTTATTCTCATCCATATTAAAGTAATGGCTGGACTTCTCTCATCTGTTAACTTTGTGTTCGTACATTATGTTTGCTATGGATGATGCTTTGTAATGTTAGTATCAGTTTTATGTGTTGATATAAAGTATATGTATTTCCTATAGTGGAAAAGAGCTTTATTTTTGATTTTGCCACTTATAACAAATACATTCTCCTTCACTGAAAAAGGAACAATGTCTAGTATAAAAATTAACAGAAGGTTACACATAAGAAACATTTTGAAGAAGACTGAAACATATTACCTCAAATATCCAATTAATTGAAATGAACTTTGATGAATTGTTCCAGGTCTTTATATTGCATACATTTTAATATTTATTTTAAGTTCTGCAAAAAAGCAGGAATAGAGTGAATAGGTAATGGTAATTATTATGAAATTTGAATTTGAATATATACAGTAGAGGGCATATTAAAACTTATAGGACATTAAATATTAGTAGTGATAGTCATCAAAATGACTCTTATTAATTAGATTTCTTTACAAAGTACTCACAAAAATCAAGCACCCAAGTATGTGGTCACCTCTTTTATTTGTCTTGTTGATATATGGAAGTATTTTGCTTTTAAATAGAATGATGCTTCTTTGTATTTAAGCTGAGCTTTCTTGGGGCACTTGGGTAGCTCAGTCAGTTAAGCATCTGACTCTTGATTTCAGCTCAGGTCATGATCTAGTGATTTGTGAGTTTGAGCCCCTACATTGGGTTTGTACTGACAGTTTGGATCCTGTTTGGGATTCTCTCTTCCTCTCTCTCTCTCTGCCCCTCCCCTGCTTTCACTTCTGTGCTCGCTCTCTCTCTCTCTCTCAAAAATAAATACATAAACTTAAAAAAAACCTGAACTTTCTTAAATATCATTATCTTCATTAAAAGAAAGTTTGCAGTAGTTAGTTAACATTAATGCTACGTAGTTAAAATTCATAATTTGTGAAAGGGGATATATGGTTTGAATGCCTATAGTTAAGTTTCTATCTAGGATTTCTACTAAATGAGTTTAAATAATTATTCAATCTCATCATAATATAATATTTAGAGGCAAAAACAAATTACTTGTTTAATGTATTGAATTCACAGCAGTTTTTAGCATATAGCACCTGATACACCTGATAGCTATTTATGGAGTGAATATGAATGAACATGCAAAAAAACAAAAACAAAAACAAAAAACACAGAACTTTCTGTGACCCTCTCACCTTCATCCTCATCATTTCCTCCCTAGGGATGATATATGCAAGCACAAATGCACACACACAGAGACATACACACACGTACATATACTCACTCATTCTCGTATATTCAACACATATATGCATGTTATCACTTTAGATTACTTTTGTCACAATTACCATCAATTTTGAACTTATTGCTTATCTAAAATTTTCAAAGAAAACTATTTCATGGGCATAAAATCGGGATTTCTTTCTGCTGTCACTCTTAGATAAATTGCTTAATGTCAGTGGTAGGAATATAAGAATCAAACACAAATTATCATGTTCTATTAAATTGCACATTTTGGTTAATTATTTTCTCCACTTAACTGTATCCTCATCTTGGGCCAGTGTTGTACCTGCCTTATTTACTACTGTATCCAAAGGACAAAGCAAAGTGACTGGTACATAATGGGAATATACACAATACTTGTTGCTTGAATGAATGAATGAATAACATTAATCTGTGCAATCAGGAAAAATTAGGTCACTAAAGTAGTTTACATTTTACATAAAAATTAATATTTGGTTTAATTAAAATATGAAATCCTTAAGTAGTACTAGTGTTCTACAAGAATAATGAAGGGTCTGAGATGTTATCCCACTTGAATTAAGGAACATGGATCAGAAGAAAAGAGTACCAGAGTGAAGCTCACATCCAGAACAACAGCCAGATGTCACCACATAGGTCCTCACACTTTGGTCTTGCCGAGATAAGAGGCGACAGCCTTTATCCATACAAGTAGCAGCTGATGCTTCATAAATGAGGGACAGAGAAGAGTAGATTTTCTCCGTTTATATAGAGGAGACAGGCAACCTCCTCCTTTCCAGCAAGGAGAGAAAAAAATTATTCCACTAAAATGGGATGGAAAGGGTCTTATGTTCTTACCCTTACCCTCAGGAATATAAACATGTCTTTGCAAGGGCCAGATAAATACAGATAATGTCTCCGAATGCTGAACTTCATCCTTTTTTAACATGTAAAGACCAAGGGAGATAATGTTCCAGTACTCCTGGCACCATGGGGCTTAATTTAAGACCTTGTCTGGTCTCTGACTCTTTGGCCCTCTTGGGGAGATAAGAGAAGTTTTATTATCCTTTTGGATCAGATCAATTAACTAGACAAATGGCTACAGATCTAATTCTCACTGAATGTGAAGATAAAATATTTCTGGCAGAAGTGAAAGCAAATATTCTCTATCTCTATATCATATACACTTTTTGTGAGCCAGTAGATTAGAGTTCTTTTTGCAAGAGCACTGATAAGTTCAGAAAAGTTTTATTGCCCCACAATTAGAAATGAACATTTTAAAATATTTACAGGTAGGCCTATGATATAGTACATTAAAATTTAAAAAGTGGATGACTTCCATTACTGAATAAAATGTATTACATAACAATAAGCCATATAGACCACTAAAAAAGTTGAACACAGTACCGAAATTAATCTTCCAAATCATATTTTTAAAGAAATGAGAGAGCTGAATCTGGAGAAGATTTTCCTTCCTGTGAGCATTTGGTAGGTCTGGGATCAAGCTGAAGGTTACATTTGAAATATGCAGAAAGACAGAGAGAGACCTCTAGGAGACAGAGAATCCAGCAGTATTAGAATTTAGAGGAAACCCAAACACAAAGCCATCTCTTCCCATGGAATATTTACCAAATTTCTAGGCAGTGTGAATAGGTGAGGAGGGGAATGAGAAGACAAAGTGAAATCTTCAGCCTTGACAAACCTGCAGGAGGATTCCTACTGGCAGAGAACTTGAAACACACACATGCCCTGACCTGACTCGGTTTCTGCACAAATTGAGGTGATTAGTTTCTCACCATATCTCTTTAGGAGAAGAAAGGGCTAACCTTCTTAGGATAATAATACCAAGGTCAATCTATAATTATTAGAACAACGTATCCAGGTTACATTTGAAAATTCTGAAACATGACCAATAACTAAGGGGAAAAACTATCAAATAGGAGTAATAGATAATGCTTTAGATGTTGGTTTTAAAAGAGCCATTGTAAAAACCATTTTAAAAATATAAATGAAAGATGAAGATTTTAAAAAAATTAATGTTTATTTTTTGAAAGAGAGAGAGAGGGAGAGAAAGAGAGCAGGGAAGGGACAGAGGGAAAAGGAGACACATAATCCAAAGCAGGCTCCAGGCTTAAGCTGTCAGAGCAAAGCCGAACAGGAGGCTCAAACTCACAAACTGCAAGATAATGACCTGAGTCAAAGTTGACTGCATAACTGACAAAGCCATGCAGGTGCCCCATGAAAGATGGAAACCTTTAACAAAGGGTTTAAATATGTATAAAAATGAATCATTGAATTTGTGAGTGCAATCTTTGAAATCAAGAGCTTCCTGGATGGGTTAAATTGCAAACAGAATCAGTGATCTTAAATAAAATTCAATGATTTTGTAGTACACAGAGAAAAACATAATGAAAGAACAAAAGCAAATACAGAACAATGTGAATACAAATGGTAGGACACACTCAAACAATGTAATTGTATTCTCAGAAGGATTGAGAGAGAGAGAGTTAGAATCAATATTTAAAAACTTGATAGCCAATAGTTTTCCAAAACTGAAGGACGTCAACCCAAAAATTCAGAAAGCTCAATAAACTCCATGAAGGAGAAAAACAAAAACAAAAACAAAAGGTTGCCCAGGCATTTAATAACCAGTTGAAAGTAAAAGATAAAAACAAAGATTTTAAAATGGTAGAGTTTTTTTATATGATAGGTTAACTTCAGAAAAAAATAGCCTAACTGAAGACTGAAAAAAATGGGTGGCAGGGGAATGAATATATTTAACAATGATGTTGAAAAAACTATGTTCACAAGTGAAAGAATGCAAGTGGATCCCCTTTTCACACTGCTTACAAAAATTAACTCAAAATGGGTTAAAGGTTTACTTACATTTAAGGAAGACCTGAAACTGTGAAGAAAACAGGGACAACACTTCTTAACATTGATCTTTGCAATGACTTCCAGGATAGGACACCAAAAACACAAGTGACAAAAACAAAAATAAACAAGTGGGCTACATCAAACTAGAAAGCTTCCACACAGCAAGACAAAAAAACAAAAACAAAAACAAAAGTAACAGTGAGAGTCAGCCTGGAATCGAGAAATTACTTGTATATTATGTATCTGATAAGGAGTTGATATCCAAAATATTAAAAAAAATTTTTTTGTATGTTTTACTTATTTCTGAGAGAGAGAGAGACACTGTGAGCAGGGGAGGGAGAGAGAGAGAGAGGGAGATACAGAATCTGAAGCAGGCTCCAGGCTCCGAGCTGGCTGTCAGCACAGAGCCTGACACGGGGCCAAACCCATGAACCATGTGATCATGACCTGAGCCGAAGTCGGATACTTAACTGACTGAGCCACCCAGGTACCCTGATATCCAAAATATTTTAAAAACTTATACAGTTCAGTAGCAAGAAAACAAATAATGAGATTAAAGACAAGCAAAGAATCTGAATACACTTAGTTCCAAAGAAGATATAAAAATGGCCAGCAGATACATGAAAGGTGTTCAACAGCACAAGTCATTATGGAACTGTAGAACTACAATGAAATATTACCTCACACCTGTCAGAATGGCTAAAATCAACAACACAAGAAACAACAAATGTTGGTGAGGATGAGGAGAAAGGGGAACCCTCTTGCACTATTGGTGGGAACTCAAACTGAGGCACCTACTCAGGAAAACTGTATGGAGGCTTCTCAAAAGTTAGAAATGGAACTACCCTATGATCCAGTAATTTCATGACTAGGTATTTACCCAAAGAATACGAAAATACTAATTCAAAGGGCTATGTGGACTCCTGTTTATAGCAGCATTATCTATAATAGCCAAATCATGGAAACAGGCCAGTGTCCATCAATAAATGGATAAAGAAGATGTGGTATATATGTACAGTGGAATATTAGCCATGAATAAAGAATGAATTCTTGGCATTTGCTTTATAGCTAGAGTATTATGCTAAGGAAAAAGTCAGTCAGAAAAAGACAAATACCTTATGATTTTACTCATGTGTAGAACTTAAAAAACAAAACAGATGAGCAAAGGGGAAAAAGAGAGAGAGGGAGTCAAACCAGAAACAGACTCTTAACTATAGAGAACAAACTGACAGTTATCAGAGGGAGTTGGATAGGTGATGGGGATTAAGAAGTATATTTGTTGTGTTGAGCACTGGGTGTGGTATGGAAGTGTTGAATCACTATATTGTATACCTGAAATTGATACTACGCTGTATGTTAACTAACTGGAATTTAAATGAAAACACTTAAAAAAATTAACACCAAATCCTTCTCAAACTTCTTAAAAAATCCAAACAGGAAGGAACTATCTGGAACTCATTTTACAAGGCCAATATTACCCTGATACCAAAGCCAGAAAAGGGCACTATGAGAAAATAAAATATCCTTGGTGGATGAAGATTCAAAAATTCTCAAAAAACAAAACAAAACACCTAGCAAACTGAATTCAACAGCACATTAAAGTGATCATAATCATGATCAAAGGGATTCATGCTGGGGTGCAAGGATGTTTCAACATAAGTAAATCAATAAGTGTGATATCTTACATTAATTAAATGAAAGATAAAAATTACATGATCATCTCAATAGATATAGACAAAGCATTTGACAAAATTCACATTCTTTAGTGGTTAAAAACTCTCAAAAATTGGGTTTAGAAGGAATATACCTCAACATAATAAAGGCCACATGTGACAAACACAGAGTACACATCGTATTCAATAGTGGAAGATTAAAAGCTTTCACCCTATGATCAGGAGCAAAACAAAAATGTCCCCTCTTACTTTTCTTATTCAACATACTGGAAGTCCTAGAAAAAGCAATTAGACAAGAGAAAGAAATAAAAGGCATCCAAATTAGCTTAGAAGAAGTAAACTGTCTCTCTTTGCAGATGATATGATTTTATATATGAATAATCCTAAAGTCTCCATCAAAAAACTACTAGAACTAATAAATCAACAAAGTGGCAGGATAAAAGTCAACCTACAAAAATCAGTTATATTTTTATATACTAACAGTGAACTATTCTAAAAAAATATTTCATTTGTGATACAATAAAAAATACATGTACTTAGTATAAATTAAACCAAGGATGTGAAATATCTGTATACTAAAAATGATAAGAAATTGATTTAAAAAATTGAAGAAGACACAAATAAATGAAGTGATATCCCATGTTCATGGATCAGAAGAATTAATATTGTCAAAATGTCCATACTACCCAAAACTGTCTATAAATTCAATGCAATCCCTATCAAAATTCCAATGAGAATTTTCACAAAAATGAAAAATATCCTAAAAGTTGTGTGGAACCACAAAGACCTTGAACAGCCAAAATAATCCTGAGAAAGATTACTGGAGGCATCACAAATTTTGATTTCAAATTTTATTTCAAAATTTTAATAGTGAAAACAGTACATTACTGGCATAAAAATAGACACACAGACCAATAGAACAGGATCAAGAGCCCAGAAACAAACCCACTTATATATAATCAACTAATATTTGACAAAAAGGCCAAGAAGAGACAATGGAGAAAGCATAGTCTTTTCAATACATGATGTTGAGAAAAGTGTTTAACCATATGCAGAAGAATGGAATTGAAACCCTATTGTACACCGCTCATAAAAGTTAACTCAAAATGGATTAAAGACTTAAATGTAAGACCAGAAATTGCAAAGACACAGGAAGAAAACACCGGAAATTCTCCTTGATGTTGATCTTTGCAAAGATTGCTCGGGTATGATACCAAAGGTGCAAAGAGAAAAGCACAAGGTTTGCTGCCTAGCAAAACAGTAAGCAAAATAAAAAGGCAACCCATGGGAGAAAACATTTGCAAACCATCTATCTGATATGGGGTTACCATCCAAATATATATAAGGAACTCAGGCAACTTAATAGCAAAAATCACACATAATCCAACTAAAACTGGGCAAAAGATGTGAAGAGACAATTTCTTCCTGAGATAATACAAATGGCCAGTAGACAGATGAAAATGTACTCAATATCATTAGCTATCAGGGAAATGAAAATTAAAACCACAGTGAAAAATTACTTCACACCTATTAGAATAGCTAATATCAAAAAGGAGAGAGCAAGTGTTGTCAAGGATGTGGAGAAAAGCGAACACTCATGAACTGTTGATGGGAATGGAAATGGGTGTGGCCACTGTGAAAAACAATTTGGAGGTTTCTCATAAAATTAAAAAATAGAATTACCATATGATCCAGTAATCCCACTTCTGGGAATATATCCTTCAGGGTTTTTTCTGTTAAATTTACCTGTGGTCAATTAGCTCCCTTCCAGCCTTCAGGATAATCTTTATATACTTCATTGATGTTTTTTGTTTTGTTTTGTTTTTTGCTCCCTACTCCAAACCCTTATTCAGGCAAGCTCTCAACCCCAGGAGACATTCTGGACATAGTCTAACTTTTAGTTAATCTCATATTTTAAAATTAAATATAAATGTACAAAGAAAATGTTTAATTCTTATTGAATTTACTTTCTGAATATTCCTCAAATACTTTTCCTATTTCTCTTCCTAGTTTTCCTGCCCCTATTAAGACATCAGACTTGATTATTATAAGTTTACTAGCCAGTCTCCCTGCCTTTTCTGTTTACCCTCTTAAATCCATCCTTCTCATTATCACATGGAGTAATATCATCAAAATATAAATTTGCCCACCTTTTTCTCCTGCTAGAAGCAACTTAAGAACTTGTCATCATTTTCACCATTATTTTCTCAGTATGTATTTCCTTTGCTCCCTTTCAGCCTCATAACCCACCAGACTGCTTCTGTTTTATGATCTAATTATAATAATTTCATTGCTTCATTTCAGTGCTTCGTGCTGCTCCATAGTTGGCTGTTCATGCTTTTACTATTTTCTTTTACCTGAATCTCCTTTCCTCCTGTTTTTACCTGGTTAATTTATTCCCAGGCTTTAATATGGATCTCATATAGCACTTCTTCGATAATGTCTTTCCTGAACCATCCAAATAAACAAGATGTCCCTCAGCTGTCTTCAATAGCACCCTGTGCATAGTACTACCCGAGTACTCAGCTTATGTTGTTGTCCTTCATTAGGCCTTAAGCTTCCGGAACACAGAATAAGATGTTATTTATCTTTGTTCCCCTGGTGCCTGGCACAGAGCAAGTTACATAGGAGACACTATAATTGCAGCTTTTCTGACATCGTTTAATACGGGATTTCAAATATATGTTATCATTGTATGCATGATAACTGAGAGATTTTATACCAGTTCTATTTACTGTGAACTTGAGTGTGCATGCATATTAATGTAACTGATAAATAACTGTTTTATTCTTATTTAGAAAATATTTAGGCTCTTAATAATTGTGATCTATAATAACCATTTAAAGCTACACATGAGTTCCTTGTGTTTTTACAGTCAGGATTCAATATCCAACTATGATAATCATCTTTTCTCTCTCTCTTTTTTTTCCCTGCAGATTGCTGCCAATTCCTGGGGAAAGGCATGGGGAGAGAATGGCTATTTCAGGATTCTTCGAGGAGTAAATGAATCTGACATTGAAAAGTTGATTATCGCAGCTTGGGGCCAACTGACAAGTTCAGATGAACCATAACATATCATTGAATTTCCATAAGGCCATGCACTTAAGTAACCCTTTAAATTGAAATTAAGCAAAATGAGGTTCTCTGTGACAGTGGCATCTTTGTCTCTTCACATTGTTATTATAATGTGCCTGTTTTCTTGTTTCACCCTGGGCTCCCTGCTTCTGCTTCCTTTATATCACTGAGTATATAAAAACACTAATAGAGGACAGCAGAGTAGCTAAATGATTTTGAAGTTCTATGGTTGTCTTTTTTTTCTCTCATGACAGTGTTCATTTTGACTTTGATAGTTCACAAAAGTGTAACAGTGCTTGTCTTAAAAGTTCATGACATTCCTTTGTAGAAATGAAATAGCTTCTGTCTTTAACAAATGAGGTTTTCAGACTAAAAAAAAAATGGAAACACCAATTTACAATCTTCATGATTTTTTCCGAACAAATATTGCTATCTTTATTCATATTTTGCTTATAATTTACAAGAAGTAATGGAAATAGATTATTGTTTCTCTCAAAAGGCTAACATTTTGTTTCTTTCCATTTTCTTAACCTAACTTGCAATCTGAACTAAAAAGGAAAGTAACTCTCCATAGAAAATAACTATTCTTTATGGTAGTTCACTCTTTATACTGTGTAATGGCCTGTGCTCTAAAATAGATGGTGTCTGGGAGGTAAAATTTTCCACCACCTCTCTTGCTTCTTTAGGCTGATCTAATAATTAAATTAACAAAGGACAGACTAACAGAAAAACAAATTGAATTATGTATATACAGGGGCCCCATAAGAATGTGAGGCTCAAACAGGGGACTGAAGCAGGCAGCTTTTATACCTCTTAGATAGTAAGTAAGTAAGTAAATAAATAAATCTGTGAAGAATTGATAAGACAAAGAAACCTAGGTTTAGGTACTAATTAGTGAAGAAACTAAACAGACCTTGTTTATATCATTTTCTCAGCCCTGAATACCCTATCCCTGGTGATCAGAATGTCTGTTTATTTCCTGGCTCAAGGAGGGTACTTTTCAAGGAAGAGATTTATTTCCTGTTTTTCAGGGAGACAGAGAGCAGTGTCATTGTAGTAGCTATTCTCAAATAATTTTAATTCAAAGTAATCAGTATGTCAAAGTGACATATTCTGAGGCAGCCTGGCCAGAACCCCATCACTGGTTAAATAATGGAAAAGCTTAGAGGCTAACAATGGAAGTACAGTGTTAACACACACACACACACACACACACACGCACACACACGCACACACACACGTTGTTTGAAGCCAGTATGCTTTGTATAAGATCTATTTAAAACCAGTTGCAAAGCTGTATTTGGAAATATATTTATCCCTGAAAACAGCAACCTGATGCCATGAGTCAGAAAGAAAAAATAGACTTTTATCACAGCCATTTCACAGTTCAGCACTTGAGATTCTAAAAAGTAAGCTAAATTGGCACTAATTTGCATCTAATTTTTATTTTAGTTCTCTATAGTCAGAAAAACGAAAATAGCATCCTCATAATGCTTGGGAAAGGATAAAATCTTTTAATAATTCACCAGCATCTTAAATGGCAAACTAATAAATGAAAAAGCGAAGCTGGCCAGTAAGTGAGCATGGCCAATTATTATTACAATGGTGGGATATCCATGGTCTTCAACTTCCGTACACTCTGTCATCTGAATTTTCATTGTGGAACTTTTCTGTGCTTTTTTGCCCAAAGGTGCTCTGATTAGATAAGCTATACAAGTTGAAAATATAAGGAAGCTGAGCACAGAATGGTGAGTGTAGCTGCAGTTTTTTTTTTCCTCCATTAATCACTGAAGCTTCATCAAAAGCAGCTCTATGTACTTGGTTCTGCCCTAGATTATACCCACAGGGTTGATTCCCCTTGTTGGGATTGGCCAAACTTACTCTAGTGGGCTGAGAAATAATTTGGTTTTGTCTCAGTTTGGATTCTTCTAGAAGCAGCCCCTGAGGCAAAGCTTTGAGCATGCAAAATTTGAGCAGTAAAGGGAACACTGAAGACAGTGGGTAGTAATGTAGGATCACTGAAGGCAGACAACAAAGGCTACGTTACCAAGCAAAGTGCCAGAACAGGTAATGTGTTCTTATCTCACCCAAGAAGGATGTGTTTGTTGAGCACTGCTCCAAAGGGCCATGAATTTCCTGATTGGTCTCATCTGGCAGGTTGCACTGTCAAAAAACTCACAGGCAAAGAAAAGCAGGTTCTGATAGTTGGATATTAGACTGATGGCCACTGAAATGACACAGGTGAGGAATTGTACCTCTGCCACTGGTGTTCACACATTTTACAACGTTCCTTAGATGATAAAGACTAAAGAAATAATAAACGATAAGGCATTAAAATGCCAGAGGACTAACCTCACTATTAAAAACACCGATGGGAATGAGTTGATACAACTTTTTCCCTGTTAGGTAAATGAATAAAATTTGTTGGAATTGATTTTCTCATTGAAGTTTGTGGGTCTAGATAATAGGCCCAGATAGTGCTGTTTTAAAGTTTACCACCTTTCTGAGGATCCCAGTTTGTAATGAAACTAATCCCAGAGATTTGAAGAAAAAACAAAGAAAATATCACAATAGTAAGCCCCATAGGAAGACACAAGATACATTTGTCCAGTAGTAAGACTAAGATCTAAAGAAGAGACGAAGACTAGTTGGGAGACAAGTATACCAGTGAGAGAAAGAAAATACTATTCCTGAGGTTTGTCTCGAGTCAGTGTCATTCTCTGAATGATGTTGCTTCTCATTTTTACAACTTAAAAAAAAATTTTAATGTTTATTTTTGAGAGAGAGATAGAGAAAAAATGAATGGACAGGTGCAGAATGAGAGGACAGGGGCAGAATCTGAAGCAGGCTCCAGACCCCAAGCTGTCAGCACAGAGCCTGATGCAGGACTGAAAACCATGAACCATGAGATCATGACCTAAGTTGAAGTCGGGCGCTTAACTGAGCCACCCAGGCACCCCTCATATTTACAATTTTAAAGAAGATGTTTGGCTCTCTTTATTAACCAAAGTCCTGAATCAACCTTCAGGAAATAATGGTTGGCATATTATTTCACCAACTCTAAGGACTATTTGTAGAATTGATTTGATTAATGCCTGATGGTTTCTCCTGCACGGTGGCTTTCTTGGCCTGCAGGTATGCCCTACTCGCCTCACCTTGGACTGAGCAAAGTGAAAGACCCCATGTTTGGTGCATATGTCTTTAGAGTTCCAGTTTATTTGTATATATGTAGTCTTTCTGTTTTGTGTAAAGCGTATACAAGGGAAACATTGTTTGTAAAGATCATTTAATTCATCCAGAAAAACGTATCTCAGATTGGATTACACTGTGAGCACCATGACTTGGTTCTCTTCCTGTTCAATCAGAAGTTTGTGCTTTTACATACTTTTTGTGGGTTCCAGTTGAAACTTGCTATTGTGTGTAGTTTTTTCCTGAAAAAAAGGAGATAGTTCCTATATGACACATTGAATTAAAGCTTGGTCACTCCACTTAGTTGAATAATGCTTCTTTTCTTCAGTTGTCATTAGGAAATGTACTTAAGAAAGAAGTGGGAAAGACTTTGAAGATAAGAGGTCATGCCTTGTCCTGCTTTATAATGTTTGAGTCTTATCCCATTCTATTGTAAACAACGAGAAGGCTTCCCCAGGTTTCTTAAATGCATATTCACAAATTGTCTGAAAGCAAAGAATGAAAAAATAAGCACAAAAATGGAATTAAATTTGTTAGTTGCTAGTCACCTGAAAAGAAAGGAAACCTCTCTTAAGTGTCTTCAACAGAAGGAATATAGTGAAAGGGCTCAGTTACATACTTGATGGAGGAGCAGAGAAGGTGACAGAGGACAGTGAACCAGTCCAGGATGAGGAAGAGTCAGAAGCCGCCATCATTCCCTGAAAGAACAAAGTGAAGCAGGTCACTACTGGAATTCAGGGGCTGGTGTTTTCCTCCTGGTAGCTGGAAACATGACTGGCCAATGTGATGGAAGGAAAAGTCATGAAAAGACATGGTATTGCCCATTTGCCACCTCAGGCAGAAAGGAAGGGAGATGAACACTGAGGCATATCCCTTCCTCACACCTTCCAAACTGTCATCAGTGCCTCTCACTGGCTGACATCTGTTGAAAGATAACTGATACAGGAGGTTAGAAATTAAGCTGTCATGGTCAGCTGTTACCCTTTCCAGTTACAGAGGAGAATAGTGTAAGGGCAAAGGATAAATAAGAAGATAAACATTAAAAATACATTTGTGGTGAGTTCCATATAGATATGGGAATAAAGATTACATAAAGAACAGCTTCCCAGTGGTTGATTAGCTCATGAACTCAGTTCCTTGGTCAACGCATGTGTCTTAAGTACTGTAATGCTTCATGGTACGTGTTTGTTGTTGTTATTGTTGTTGTTGTTGTTGTTGTTAAACTCTTTTGATCTCTAGGAAATAATAATATATTTCCTATAGGGAAAAATTCCCATTTTGTTCACAGTAATTTCTGGGGAGTTTGTTTGTCATTTTAACATCATTGTCACATATGGCAATCTGATCTCAAGACACTTATTTTTCTTTGGGTGGAAGTTGATTTCATCTTCAAAAGAAAAAAAAAGGAGAAAGTAAGTATTATCTCACAAACTGCCATTTTATGAAATGTTTCAAGGGAGAAAAGCCTCAGTCTGTCAGGTACCGCTGTATCAGAAAGGACACACAGACATCCCTTCCCCAGAAAAGTCAATGAAGGTGGAAAAGAAAAATAAAATCAGTCTAACACTATCAAGAATGGATAACTGAATGAAGGGAGAAAGCTTTTCCATCTTCAGTCGTGAATAATATTGTACATCATTTCACTACCATATCTGATAGAAATGATTAAAAACTCATTGACAAGTAAATCCAATAGAGTGGGATTTCTCCTGAGACACCACCAGCAACACTCTCATTATTTAGAAAAAGAGTGACTGGCAGTACTCTTCCTGCCATCATCTGTCCCCTCTCTGTAACCGCCACTGCTGTAAAAACAAGATGTTTTTATTTTTTCTGAGATCGTATGGGGAATAAGTGTCTAGTTGCAAAGACTTTAAGATTTATCTTGTATTATAGCCACCATTTTAAAGATTCACAGTTCACAGTCAGGTCACTGAGAAGTTCTACAGGAAAGTCTGGCAAAGCAGTACCTGGATTCAGTCCT